TTGGGGCTGCTTGGAAACCTTCTACTGATGTTAAGGGGATGAGCCGTATTACTAATCTGCAACTTGGTTTTGTTAATAAATTTGCAGCGGTTCCCATGGCAGCAGGTTTCTCTGTATGTCCATCGGCTGGCACCCACCCAACAAAAACTGCACAGGCATGGGTCCCTGTGTGTCATCCTTGTGGTGTCACCTGGGACGTGGCTCCTTACTAAGCGGAGACCAAGAGCAGAGTTGTGTGACATGGCCGAGGCCAGGCATAGAGATGCTGTTGTCCCTGGGTGAGTGCCATGGGCCGTAGACCACACATTCCGCAGACTCTGCACACAGGCTGTCCTCGGTGGAAAGTGACGATGCAGTGTGACGTGGCAAATGTTAGCAGTCCTGCACAAATACTTAGTTTGGCTTTTGTTTTAGCCCTAAGGATGGGGAGCAGTGTTCCCTCTAAGCTGAGTTAGTGTGAGCTAGCTCACAGTTTTTTAGCCTCCGGCTCACACATTTTGGTGTCAGCTCAGGAAAAATGGCTCCAGAGCAAACTGATTTATGCAGCAGCGAAATCGCTCGCTCACAACTCTAATGCCAGTAGCTCACAAAGTAGAATTTTTGCTCACCAGACTCCACAGCTTAGAGGGAACATTGACGGGGAGCCCTCAAGCTTACTTTGAAAGGGGCAGTTCTGGGAGTGTATTTTTAGGAGGCTATTGTTAGTAACTGTTCTACATAAAAGCTGCATTGGGGTCAGAGTAGGGTTCAGAAGGCTGAAGATGCTGCAGACAAGGAATAGAATGGTGGTAATGCCAGCCATTCCGCACTGTTGCCACAGAAATTTGTCTTTGCTCGCCTTTCTATGATTGTCTTTTTAAAAAATTTTTTAACTATCCTGCATGATGGACAAAGCGAAGGGCAGCAAATGAGACGAACTGAACTGCTGTAGTAGGAATGCGTGGTTTGTGGATATGGAAGCCACCGTCCTGATTCCCGCTCTGTGGGAGGCTTTTAGATGGCAAGACCCTGTGAGGACTGTGCTCTGAACCCCCAAGTCCTCCAGCAGACAGTTGTGATAGTCCTAAGATTAGTGGGCTGTTGGTCTGATGAAACTCATTGGTGAGACCAGGTGGCACTGCTAGGAACCCCATACAGATTACAGTGTAAGGTGGGACTGCCGTTGCCATTAGTTTATGATTCTGGCTAGTAGCTTGGCTACTTACTAGTCACTGCTATAAATTGTTTGAGAAGGAGGGGGACTTCCCCTGCATCTTGGCTCCAGCTTCATTAAGTCTCTCAGCACACAGTTTGTGCTACGTCAATGCCTCACCAGCATGGCCATTCTCCACTTGGGCTGTGTAGATTCTGGGGAGATCCTGTAGGATTAAGGATATCCACAGTTTAGACATGATGGATATTAAGACATTGGGGAGATCTATTTAACAGGGGCATGTTGTACTCATTTCAGATGCTTCAGGATAAATACACGAGCAGCCAAGATCAATGTTTTTTATTTACCTGCAACTTAGATCAATTATTTGGAATCTTTTTGGTAAGTTTAATTTAATGGATGTAACTTGAATCACACAACCAATTAAATCATGTTTGCTGTAAGTAAAATGAGCTTTGTAGTAGATGTGTGCAGGATGTTACAACTTGTCATGTACTTAGTGTTAACATTTATACTGTGAGAATGCCAGGGCAGTAGCAGTAATTTGCTGCTGTTACGGCTGAATACAAAGACTTTGTGGCCTACAGAAGCTCATTCTAAAACATCCTTCAGAGTTGCCACAGGTTTTTCTCCCCTTAATGAGGAAGGTCCAGATCTGTGCACAGAAAACAATTGCACAAGACAGAGTGTAAAGTTGGTTGGAACCACACTTCTTGCCTATTTTCTTTGTTCAGGAAAAGAACCACAGAACCCCTGGTGCCTTGCAAAGTATTCTGGGTATGTATAGTCCAGTGCACAGAGTCCACGTGGGCGAGGTTTGTTGGATCTCATCGTATGCCCTGGAAGGCACCCAGCACTTCCTTGAAACTGCACATGGAGGGCAAGCTGTCTTTTCAAGTCTCCTGACTGCTAAATCTTTCTGGGGGGCCTCGGCTCCTGAGAGCGCGTTTTGAAAACCACTGGTTTAATGTTTGCCATTATGGGGTACACTTTTAAGTACAGTCTCTTGTTTTCATTTCTGTATATACGTTTGCCAAACTGTACTGACCTTTGATGGTACTTCCTAGCCGCTCCTTAGTATTTCTAAATTTTGTTGTGTCTCAAGAAGTCGAGAACCGGGGCCAGTACAAACATGCAATGTAGCTGTGGTTTGCATGCACCTGGTGATATTTCCTACAATAACAACCTGTAATGTTTCTTCTCTGTTGCCAAAACATAGAATGGCTCAGTGGTTGAGAGACTGAGCTGCGAACTGGGAAGTCCCCAGTCCAATTCTCTCCTCTGCCATGCACTTCCTTAGGTGGCTTAAGCCACTCTTCACATTTTTTTAAAAAGCTCTACAGCTCTAATAAGTGTTTTTGCGGGGAGTGTATTTCTGCTGTAAGACCGGTGTATTTAACTGAAATTTGCCTTGTATGTTGTGGTGGCCAGAATATGTGTGTACTTGATGTCACAAGTGGAAATACAGGAAGGGTTTCTAGTTGAAGAATCTGTGACGGTATTAGAGACCAGAGAATCTTAAGTCGTCATGACGAAGAATCCGTCACGCCAGCATTTGTAATTGTTTGTAAGCCTTTATTGGCATCTGAACAGAGACTTGGCAAAGCACCTGTTTGCACAGATTTTTGTCCTTCTCCATTTTACTTGTGAAGGGAGGCCCGGTGTTTATAAAGCCTCCTGTTGTGCATCTTGGAAATTGGAAGAGCTTGAAGATGGGCATTTCGTTCAAAACATTTCCTATTTGAAAGTTTTCCTGTTTCTTTGTTTATTTTATGCACCATCTTTCTGCCCTCGTCAGGGCCACCAAGGCAGCTGATTAAAAACGTACATAATAAAAACACATCTTAAAAACCATAAAAAACCAAATAAAATGTGTCATTAAAACAATTAAAATCTATCTAAAATACACATACAAAACATCTAGGTTCCAGTCCAGTAGCACCTTAGAAATCAGCAAGATCTGAGGGTATGAGCTTTCAAGAGTCAAATCTCCCTTTGTCACATACCAGGAGCTTTGACTCTCAAAAGTTTATACCCCAAAATCTTGACAGTCTCTAAGGTGCTCCTGGACTGGAATCTAGGTGTTCTACTGCAAACCAACATGGCTGGCTACCCTCTGATACAAGAACATAACAACAACAATTAAAACATAGGACAGCAAGGAGAAATCACTGAGAGAATGCCAGACTAGGGTTGTGCGCTCAGTATACCCTGAGCCAAATAAATATCCCTCCAAATACCTTATCAGTATTATTCAGGTATTTATTAAGCTGAATCAGATTCTGTATTCTGATTCAGCTACCAATCTAGCTGAGCTTGATTAAGAGCCAATATTATTTGGCTTTTATTCGGGCTCAGCTTCACTCGCTGAGTAGAGCTGAAGTCAGAAGACATTTAAACTTTAAGTGCCTTCTGAATTAAGTCGCAGAGTTGTACCACCACCGTGGCGCAACTCGGTGAGAGAACTGAACTCACCTGTGCCACTGCCATAGTGGTGGTTTTGAGAAGGCATTTAATTGACTTTTGCAAAGCCAAGCCATGCGTGAGTGAACCCAGAAGTGGTGCAAATTCACCCCCCCTTCTCCATTGTACCCTATGGGATCGGTCCCCATAGGGTATTATGGAGCCGAATAAATTCAGCAATCCTGATTATTTCCCGAATCCCAATCTCATACCGATACTGGGATTTGGGAATATCAGGAAATACTTTTTTTTTTTGCACACCCCTACTGTAGACTAAATACAAATGCCTTTACCTACCAGCGGAAGATGGCAACAGAAGGGAACATGCAAGTCTGTCGGGTGACGGGGTTCCAGAGTTTCACTGCTGTGACCAAAAAGGCCCTTTCCTTGGAAGTCTAGATTTGAAAATATTTATTAAGATAGACAGAAAAACAAGATGATAACTTGAAAGAACGTCTCCTGAAGATTGCCATTTTTCTTCATAAGCATAAATACTGATGTTCATGTGTTAAGGATTCTTTCCGTTCTTCACACATGATCTGTAGATTATCTTCAAAGTGCACTTAGACTTCTGAGAAATAAAATCCATTTGTGGGGATATTTTAAGGAAAATCTAACCCTGTGAGACATCCGAAGGGGTTGAGAGTAGAAATTAAATGTAACCAAGGTTTGATTGTGTGGCCTGATGTGGTGAAGGTCAGCATTTGGCTAAAGTTGAACGTGAAGTTCCACACAGATTGCTATGTCCCTTCTCCGTGTGATCATCCACCAGCACTGCTACATTCGGTTTTTTTGCCGAACAAGCCTGATGGGTATTTTGGGGCATACATTTAGAAGACAGCCAGGCTGCTACTTTCTTGGGCAATAGTGCTTTAAGGTTAAATCATGTAAAGGATATAGTTTTTAAACACTTCTTTTTTAAGCTATCTTGATGCCTATGTTTAAACCCTTGCTGATTGCTTGCTACATTTCATTACGGGGGCGTGCAACGTAGAGATCAGTGGGATGTCTTGAGTAAGGCTGACAACATTGACTTGGCTTCCTTTTGAGAGAGCCTGCGCAGGAGTTCCGAGGTTTTCATCCAGTGAAAACAAAAGAGGTCTGCAATTTAGGAACAGTTGTCCTGAGTGGTCTTGCTGGGACTCTTTTCCTATCTGGTTTAAATGTTTGAGACTGTACTCCTAAGTATTTGCCTCTACTCCAAGCAACATGAGGAAACATCTCACAGCTTTCTGCGGTGTTCCCATTATTTGAAACATGGACTTGTTGAACTGTAAAATGAATATTTCATCATTGTATTATTGCCAAAGAATAGGCTTAAATGGCAGTGGATGGCTGCATTGCTTACGTATTTGTGATTTCTTCTTTTGCCCCCCTTTGTTAGGTTACTTACTTTCCAGAAGAGAGGGACAAGCAGGGTCTCCTGAGAAGCCGCTGTCTGATCTGGGTCGTGTGTCCTACCTGGCGTACTGGAAAAGCGTTGTGTTGGAGTACCTTTACTGCCACCACGAGAAACTGATCAGCATCAAGGGAATGAGCCGGGCCACTGGGATGTGTCCCCATGACATTGCCACTACCCTGCAGCAGCACAGCATGATAGACAGGAGAGAAGAAAAGTCAGTACATGTTATGTGGTTTGAACAGACTTGCTAGCTTCGAGGTTGCATGCACCAGCCCTTCTGCCTCATTCTGTGGCTATGTGTGTTTTCTTATTCTCTCACACACCCCTTCCTTTGTGTAGGAAACGGGGACCATTTTGCACACTTGTAATTCTCCGTGTGTAAACACAACGGTATTCTGGATTAGGAGCAGCTGTTCCCTCTAGAACTGCACAGGCAAAATCAAGAATCCAGAAGGAGAAGGGTCTTTGTCCTCTGTCCCCCCTTGCCCCCCTACTTTAAAGCAGAAAATCAAGGTTTTAATGGATTTCCTGCAGAGCCATTGTCTGCCCCCCCACTGCCTCACCATGCAGTAAGGGAGGAAGAAGAGCAGCAGAGGCCCAGATGATACAGGAGATCCTTTGCCTCTCTCACCCCCTCCGCAGGTGAGGGAGGGTTAAATGGGGAATCTAGGCAGGGCCAGTTCCAGGTTTGGGGGGGGGGGCTGGGCAGAGAATGCTCCGGGGGCCCCATGTCCACTCTTCTTGCCCGCCCGCCCACCCACGTCTCCCCACCTGCCCGTGCATCCTTTGTCTGCCCACTCGCAAGCCTTCCGCCATCTGTAGTCGCAGCTGCCCCCACACTGCTTGCACAGCCGGGCCCTGGTGGTGGTGGGTGCAGCCAGGAGTGCCGCTGCCACGGCACCACCCACACGCCCCTTCCCAGCAGTGCCAGGCAGCATGTGCAGCTGGGGGGGGGGTGAGAGCTCTCTCGCAAGCAGGCAGGGGAAGGGGGGTGAGTGCAGGCATCAGAGGAGACGCCCGAGCAGGGAGTCGGCTGCAGGGGGCCCCACCAGAAACCCCGGGCCCTGGCAGCTGCCCCGCCCTGAATCTAGGCCAGAGGCTGCCACCCGGCCTCCACGCTCAGCCCTGAACGAGCTTTAATACTCCTTCTGTAAGAAAGGCTGAAGGCATCACGCGACAGAGGAAGAAAGTATTGGGGAGAGGGCTCTGAGGACCAGGCGTGAGGTGGCAAAGCGAATGGCTCGGGGTGAAGGAGTGATACCCTTTTTTTATCTGGCCAGAGAAGCATCATAAGGGCAGGTGAGCGAGAAAAGCTGGAGTGTGTGGCCTGTCCCAGAAGCTCAGTATTGCCCCTTCCTCTGGGAAGGATCTCTGCTCCATCCAGAGTCCTCCTCACCATGGACCTCCAGAATGGCGGCTTGTATATTAGCCTGCGCCCTGGCATAGATTTCCCCAGGGGTCATTTCTTAGAAAAAGAGCTAGGGGAACTCATTAGCATAACTCATTAGCATATGCCACGCCCCCTGACATCAGGGGCCCGGCGGTGGACCAGCAAGGCCGGTGGGAGTGTGAGGCAGGCAGGGGTGGGGAGAGGCGGGGAGGAAGCAACTTACCCTCCCTCTTCTCCTGCCTCCTCCTAGCTGAATGAGGGCCGGAAGCGGGGCGGGTGGAAGCAGGGGGCGGGGCTTCGTCATGTGCCCCGTACGTCACCCAGGGGAACTGCGATCCCCCGCGATCCCCCCCGAATTGACCTCTGGGTTTCCCTTTCCTTTTGTTGCAAACCCAAAGAAAAAGCCCATCTTATTCTACTGGAGTATCCGGGGGGGGGGGGGGTGTCATAATAATTCAAAAGGCCACAAGGACAGGTTTGCATCTAGTGTCAACTCCTACAGATAGTCCTCCAGGGATACCTCAGAGGCTGCCATGGGAGGGCTAGGCCTCATTGTCCTGTCACTGAGGCAACCGGTAGCACACATTGCAGGCGCACGAGTGGCAGTGCAGCCCATGGCTGACCCTTCCTTCCTAGCCTAAGGGGCCCAAATCTGTCATGGTGGAGGGATCTTTGACTCTTGAACGCTTATACCCCGCCCCCCAAATCTTTCTGGTCTCTAAGGTGCTACTGGATTGGGATCTAGGTGTTCTACTGCAGACCAGCAAGGCAACCCCCTGAATCTGTCAAACTCAAGGACAGCCACCTCTGCTGGTTCAAAAAAAAGAAGAGGATCAAACTGAAGGTTGTGGGTGCTGTTGGCCATAACCAGTGGCCTAGGATCAAGTGTGTAGACAGCCCATGATCACTTGTCCTCCACAGGACACGTCTCATGTCTGATTTCCAGATGTTGTGAATGGCCGTTAACTGGCAGGACACAGTCTCTTCCTTCCATCCGTGTAAGAGCACTAAATGCTGCAGGCAGTAGAACAAAGTTTCAGTCCAGTGGGGGCACCTTGGAGACCAACAAAGTTTTATTCTGGGTGTAAGCTTTTGTGTGCACGCACATGAAAGCTCATACCTAGATTTAAACTTTATTGGTCTCCAAGGTGCCCCCACTGGACTCAAACTTTGCTCTGCTGCTTCAGACCAACATGGAGTCTGACACCACCCACCTGAATAGTAATGTTTTGGCTCTCTTATTTGGCTTCTAAGCCCAGGGGCTCTCTTTCCATCTCCTTTTGATGCTCTTCTGAAGAAGGGATTTTTACACCCTGCCAAGACCAATGTTCCCTCTAAGCTATGGAGTCTTGTGAGCACAAATTCTACTTTGTGAGCTCCTGGCATTAAATTTGTGAGTGGGCGATTTGGCTACTGCATGAATTAGTTTGCTCTGGAGCCCCATCCTTCCTGAGCTACGACAAAAATGTGTGAGCTGGAGGCTAAAAAACTGTGAGCTAGCTCACACTAACTCAGCTTAGAGGGAATACTGGCCAAGACTAAAATAGGTTCCTTTGGCGTCGCCGTGTTGATCTGTGGCAGCAGAACAAGGTCTGAGTCCAGGGGCACCTCTATTTATTTTTTATTTTATTTGTTAAATTTATACCCCGCACCTCCCCGCAGAGGCAGGCTCAGGGCGGCTTACAATATACATATATAAATATATCTGTTAAAACACTGACATATAAAGGTAAAGGTTCCCTTGCTTGAGAGCCAGTCGAGTCCGACTCTAGGGTTGCGGTGCTCATCTCCGTTTCAAAGCCGAAGAGCCAGCACTGTCCGAAGACGTTTCCGTGGTCATGTGGACGGCATGACTAAACACCAAGGTGCACGGAACGCTGTTACCTTCCCACCGAAGCGGTACCTATTTATCTACTTGCAATTTCTTGCTTTCGAACGGCCTAGGTTGGCAGGAGCTGGAACCAGAGACGGGAGCTCACTCCGTCATGCGGCACACTCGGGTCTCGAACTGCTGAACTACTGACCTTCCACAGCCTGCAGTTCAGCGTCTTAACCACTTGAGCCACCGCAGCTCATAAATTAATTAAATCAAAACATAAATTAATTAAAATCACAGTATATAAAATCGTACATATTCAACCGATGTTAATGGCAGATGGCGTCGATCTCTTGGCATTAAACGGTGGCCCACCACCCTAGTCCAGGCTCGGGCCAGGCTGTTGGTGCTGATGGTGATGTTGGAGGGCCAGGGCCAGGATGTTAAAGGCAGTTCCTTAGTCGAAAGCCTGGTGGAAGAACTCCGTCTTGCAGGCCCTGCGGAACTGTAGGAGGTCCTGCAGGGCCCTGATGTCCTCCAGAAGCTCGTTCCAGCAGTACGGGGCCACCACAGAAAAGGCCCTGGCTCTTGTTGCGGCCAGCCTGGCTTCTCTGGGGCCCGGGAGGACCAGGTGATTTTGGGATCCCAATCTTAGTGTTCTCCGGGGGACATATGGGGAAAGGCCCAGACCATATAGGGCTTTAAAGGTGATGACCAGCACCTTGAACTGAATCCGGTATGCTATAGGCAGTCAGTGCAGAGCTTTTAGGGCGGGCTGGATGTGTTCCCGCACAGGAAGACACAACAACAGCCTCACCGCTGCATTCTGCACCAGCTGCAGCTTCCACTTTTGAGACAAGGGCAGCCCCATGTAGAGAGCATTACGGTAATCCAATCTCGAGGTGACCAAGAACATTTTATTCTTATCTGAAGAAGTATGCATGCACACGAACGTTTATACCCAGAATAAAATTTTGTTGGTCTTAAAAGTGCCACTGGACTCAAGACTAAAATAGCTACATCTCCACTTCAAGTGTTTATCCTACCTTTGTATGTGATGGCTGACTGAAGGTGGACATCTACATTGCAGATAGTGCAAGGACTGAAGTTATCCCAACAGAAAATGGTGATGCCCATTGACTAGAACAATCTCTGACTCAAGAGTGGCTGTTTGAAGATATCCTCTTGCACTCTCTCAACTATCTTTCATAGACAGCATCTGTCATTTCTAGGGCAGTGAGCTGGCAGCTGCCTCTGGGCTTAAAGACCTTAAGAACATAACATAAGAACCTAAGAGAAGCCAATGTTGGATCAGGCCAGTGGCCCATCCAGCCCAACACTCTGGGTCACACAGTGGCCAGAAATACCAGGTGCCATCAGGAGGTCCACCAGTGGGGCCAGGACATTAGAAGCCCTCCCACTGTTTACCCCCCCCCAAGCCGGGTGATTCTTCTGTTGTCTGGTTCTTTGAGATGCAGTTTGCAGCAGGAGCAGACTCTCGCCCCATGGTTCTTCAGGCGATTTCCTTCCAAAGAGACTCTTAGATGCTCTTAAGATCTTGTAGCTCGGGGAGGGGGCAGTTTCTAATCAGCAAGGTCTTGGTGAAGATTGAGAGGTAGAGATCCGTCATTATAAAGGGCCACAAGCCTGTCAAATATTTGAGCTAGGCGGTGGTTTTGCCAGTTCAGAAGCCACGGGCTCTCTCAACGCCTCCTGGATGCCTTTGCTTTGCCAGAAAGGGTTTCCAGTTGGCTAGGTTTGCATTCCCTAGCAGCTTTTGGCAATACTGTCTCATAGAGCTTTCACTCATACTAGGTGATTTGACTTGATGGTCTTTACCTATTGCGTCTTCCCAGGTCAATTCTGTCTTGGCCCCTGCTTCTTTGCAAGTCTGCTGCCTGCAGCCTAAAAAGGGCCATTGCAGGAATAGGGGTGGTGGATTTGCAAAAATGCAGTTTATAAGCTGGCAAAGATGCACAGGACATTTCTTTCTGAGGACTTGTGGGGTTGTTTGTTTCCTTGTCTTTAGTATTTATCCTCTGGTTACAGTAACATCTGAACTGAACAGAACTGCTGTCAGTTCTAGCCCCACGCTGGTGTGAGCTACCAGCCTTGTCCCCAGCTCGCCGTCCACCCAGCGGTTCGAAAGCTTCGGCAAGTAGATAAAATGGGTACCACTCCTTAGAGAGTGGGGGGAGGTGTTAGCCGGCGAAACGGCGAATGTTAGCCGGCGAAACGGAATGTCCAGCTCGGGAGCCTGGAAAGATCTCTTCGGCATTAAGAAGCCTGTGGTGGGCCAATCCGGCCAGGCAGTGGCAGTCCGACACTGCGACTCGAAACAGTCCTGGAAAAACTGACGTCATCAAGCCAAGCCGAGTGAATGCCGTCTGGAACACGTCTAAGTCTACAGCTGAACAAAAACCCCGTTGGCTGCAAATGTGTGCGACTTAAAAAAGATTTATATGTTGTCCTCCCTTACCCCCTATGAATCATTGTTAGTCCCTTGTTAATATGTGTAACTGTAAATCGCTCAGAGCCAGCGGCTCTGCAGGATTGAGCGATTAATAAATTGAAAGATATTATTATTATTATTATTTTTCTCCTAATACTGCATGTGTTTAAATTGCAGATTTGTACTAATTAGAAGAGAGAAACTGATTTCAAGTCATATGGAGAAACTGAAATCCAACCCACGCATCAACCAAGTAGATCCAGAAAGCTTGAGGTGGACTCCCATCTTAATCCCTAACGCCGCAGTTTCTGAGGAAGAGAGAGAAGCCGAAAAAGAGGTAATCGCAGGTGTAAAGCAAGGCACCCTCTACAAGCTCAAAATCACACTTTCTTCCGGGAGTCAACCTGGGCATTGAAAATAAACTCCTGGGCCAAGCCCTGCTGAGGTCTCAATGTCCAAAGATAAATTTCCAAGGGGTAGTCAGGGGAATCTGCTACAGCATAACTCAAAAGGAGTCTTTGGCCACCTTAGAGGCAAACGGATTTACCGTAGTGGGAGCTTCATAGCTAGAGCCTGTTTGTGAAGGGAATCCTCAGTCCACTCTTGTATATGGGGGGGTATTATGAGCAGTGGGGTTAAGGAGGTACTGTTTGTGGCTTTTCAAAGCAGAACTGAAAAATACAAGATAAGCACAGTGACTATTCACAGAAGCCGTGACAAAATCTGCTTAGCCCCTGGTTATTTATGTTGCAAGAAATCTGTCTTTGAGGTGCCACAAAACTCCATTTTGGTTTGTAAGGAAGGGGAGCGATGGTCGTACCCATTGGGTTGCATTCTGCCGTGGAATTTACAATCCCTTGCAATAGGAACCTGAAAATGAAAGAAAATCCTATCCCAGGAAATTAGGTTACTTGCCACGAACCTGTGTTGCCCTGTCCAGGGTTGTGCCTAGATTTGGGTGACCAGATATCTTGAACTAGCCCTGCTGAGGCTTAATCCCAAGGCTTCATGCCAGAGGGTGGCCTGGAGAGACGCGAGTGGGGTGGCCCCGGGTGGAGTCTGTGGGAGGGAATGCCAGGCAAGAAGGGGCAGCACTTCAGATGATGCCTTTGAAAGAAATTTGGAGGGGCACACATGCATCATTCTCAAAAAGAAGGAGAAAATAGGGGTCGGGGGTATAGCTAGCACAAAATACACGTATTTGTTTATTGAGTCAGGTGGGTGGCCGTGTCGGTCGAAAGCAACAGAGCAAAGTTTGAGTCCAGTGGCGCCTTTAAGACCAAACCATAACTCTGGGTGTAAGCATTCATGTACATGCTTATACCCAGAATTATAGCTTGTAATAGTCTGCCTTTTCTCATAGACTGAAGGTAGATTGCACAGTGCCAGTCAATACAATCGATAGGATGGGACATCCAGTAAACAAAGAAAGAGGGTTTGGATGGCAGAAATCTGAAGGAGAGCGGAAACAGAGCATCAGCTCATGACATGTTGACGGATGTAGGCATTACATAGTAGGAGCACCCTTAAAGCAAGAGACAGGACGGCGCTGTGCACAGCCGGAGACTCCACGGTCCCCATCCCTTGGTGGATGGAGCAGCAGACAAGGACTCTGGGCGACTCGGGCTCGAATCCCCACGTCTGCTGTGGGAGCTCACTGGGCGACCTTGAAGATTGATCCGGACAGGAGCCGCATTAGTCTGTTTTGTGAGTCACTTCCGCCGTTGCTCCCTTTGGCTCAGTGGGTGGCCTTGGGCTGTCACAAAGTCTCGGCCTGGCCTACCTCAGAGGGTGGTGGTTGTGAGAAACTGGAGGAGGGAAGAATGATATTCTGAGCTGCTTTGAGTCCCAACTTAGGAGAAAAGCAGGGTCTAAACAAATGAATGCAAATGCTTCCTTTACCAAAAATACATACAATACATAACTGTGTCAAAACAGCTGACAGTTTTAGACCCTGGCCAGGCAGGCCCCGGGACTGGACGGGACTGGGCTGCTGCCTTTCCTTCTGGGTGGCTTCAGAGTGTCCCTGGGGCTGCCTGCCCTCCGGGGTCCCGGTTGCTCAGCTGGAGCCAGGATGGGGCTGCCGTCAGGGCCAGAGCCACAGGCACACGAGCGGCAGGTGCTCCTTGCAATGCAGCATCCTGTTGTGGCCTTGTGAGCCCACTTAGAACTGTTCAGGGGAACCTGTAGAATGTGTGAGCATCGCAGGCTGGTCGTTTCAAGCCAAAAATGGTGCGTTTAACCAGCATAATTAATGTGAAGAGGACAGTTAAGTGGCACACGCTCAATGAGGTTTGGTAGCTTCTGTCTTTTGGATTCAGAGGGTTTGTGGAATTGATTGAGAGTTCGGAATCCAGCATGCCTGTCGGGACTGAAAAGTTTGTAAGACGCTTGACGTCATTTTGGCTTTCATTGCTTCCTGAACTGCTGCCGGCGTGAACTCCGTGCCAGCCTCCAAGACTGTGGGTGTCAACTGATCCTTTGTGTCTATGAAGCTGTTCAAAGTGATCCATGTCAGAGGGCATGTAATGTGGTGCAGGAGAACTGAAATCAATTTGCTGCATCATTAATAGTGTTAAATATCCCATGAAATGCAATCTTCTTTGGTTTGTTATCCCGAGGCTTATAGGAGAGCCCCTGAGATGGGTCTGCTAGGGCAGCCCTCGTTGCTAATCGGCCCTGACTTATTGTAGCTGTTTCTTTTTAGCCGAGCTTAAAGAATGGCTGATGAACCACTATTTTAACTCCTTTGGCTCTCAGGCAGAGCGGCTGATGGAGCAAGCGAGCTCCTGGGAGAAGGAAGAGCAAGAGGTGCTGTCCACGAGAGCCAACAGCAGGCCGTCCCCAGCAAAAGTGCATTATTTGCGGCCTCCAGAGAACATGATGGTATTGGCAGAGCGAGGGCAGCCCGCAGACCCACCGTCAAAAGAGAGCAGTGAGGAAGAGGAGAAGGAGGAGGAGGAGGAGGGCGAGGAGGACAAGGATGGAGAGGGGCATCATCCAAGTTCTCCTCCCAGGCTGGCAAAACCCCAGCTGCTGGCTGTAAAGAGAAAGGTCAGTCATGGGTTTCAAGGCCTCTTCAGACTGGATTATCACACAGTGTGAGTTTCTAGCCAGCCTGCAGAAGTGCTGGAGGGGGGGGGGGGGGTCCGCTTGCTGACCCTATAAAGGTTTCCCTTTCTTTTATTTTGATATGGCTGCTGCTCTTCCTGTTTATTCCCATTGGGAAGGGTCGACACTCAGAAGAGGAATTTTGTCAGGGCAGAGCCCTCTGCTGGTTGCAAGTGGTGTTAATTAATATGTATTTGTCCTTCCAATATTATTCTCCATTGGTTTACTTTTGCACAAGATCCTCAGCCTCACTGTGTTGATCTTGCAGCTTGGCAGCTGGGGAACCCACTAGGTTTTCCTAGGACTCAGCTCTGTGGGTCTCCCCCCCCCCCAGTCAGAAGTGAGCCTCGTGGTGTTGCTACTTCTCGTTCGTATTTTACTTACCTTATGTATAACTCCTCCCTTCTCAAGGAGGCACAAGGGGAAAGCACCCAGTGTAAGTGAATGCAGTTAACGGGATGGGACATCCAGTAATCAAAGTAATAAGATCAGGACTGCAGAAATCTGAACCGGAGACACCAGCATTCTGTGCACGGAGGCCGAACACATTCTTGCACCATTGTGCTCTGACAGTGCAAAGGGTTAGATCTGCACTAGCTTTTCTGCTGCTTTCTGGCTCCTCACTTGAGCCTCCCCCCCCCCCCCCCCGAGGCTTTTATCCATATGGATCTCGTGGTGCCGCCTTTTTTAGTGCTCAGAAGGGGTCCAGAGCCAGCCCAAACTAAATAACCCTCTCCTTACAACATAAAATCAGTAACTGGTCGTAGATCGTTGCCCTCATTTCCCCCCCGTAAGTGCGATTTCAGGAGCACAAAAGGTCCTGGGTGGCAAAATCTTAATTTCCTCCCAGCAGCCACTTTCCTGCTCATCTGTTTCTTTATATTAAAATGTTTCTGATTTTAATGGGGCTGCCGTTTAGCAGTGAATCCCAGCGGCTTTCCGTGGACTACAAAGCAACCTTCTTTTCATCGCTGTTTGGAAGCTTCTGTTCCAGATGCCTTAAAAGGCATGGGGGGGTTTTATTCAAAGTTAACTATCCTTTCCACCTAGGACATATTTTGTAAAGAGCAGTGTCATGGCGACTGCTGTGCTGTCATTCCCCCCCCCCCTTTTATCTGCCTTAGAGCTTCTCCATACACTTGACTTAGCTCCTGATCTTCTTGGCCACTGATCCACAAACAGTCTGAGCACAGTTGTTCTGCACATCTGCCCTCCCTGTGCACCTTCACAGTTGTGGAGTCGGTTTATAGCAGAGTCCCCCAACCTTTTGGAGCCTGAAGGGACATTTGGAGTCCTGACACAGCACGGAGGGCGCAGCAACAAAACGGCTGCCACCAAGTGGCTGCTGCAGGAGGCTGAGCCAGGCACACCGTAATTGCCGCAGCTTAACTTCGGTATTTATGGATTCATTTGATGTATACCCTGCCCTCCCTGCCGAGGCAGGCTCAGGGCACCGTGTAGATCCTTACGCTGTGGTGGCAGCTGCCGCCAAAGCAACATTTTGAAAAGTCCCCAGGAGTCAGTCAGAAGCCCTGCCCCCCCCCCCCGCTTCCTCAAAACACTCGGCAGCCGTCACACCCACGGGCACCACATCGGGTTGGGGGGGAGGGGGCGCCCTGGTCAGGCCCGTAGCCAGGCAATTTCTACTGGGGGGAAGTGAGTACAGTGGTGGTGAGCACAGCATTGCTTATTTACTTTATTACGAATGAGCTATGATGTACTGCAAAGTCTCTACAAGGGGTCATTCAACAAAGAAAGTTAAACGATAATCCATTTTGTTTGAAGCCAAACATCCCCTTCCTCTATTTACACATGATGAACAGAGTCTTGCAAATGCATGAAGATCCCCACCCCCATATTGTCCCACTTCCACTTTCCTGGATTGCAGGGTGTGAAATGGGGGGAACCCCCCCCCCCATGTGCACCATAAAAGTGTCTGTTCTTCCTCTGAGCATGAAATGAGGCTTTGCTAACAGAGATCGCAGAAGAAGGTGCATTTTCTTGGATGGATGGCCCCTTTGATTCTTAACGCCATCTTCCATTGAATTCACACACACACACACACACACCAAAAAGCCCCAAACTGTTTTTTGGTTTAGCTCCACATAACTTGCTATAGGGAGACTTAAGGATAACTGTCGGCACACAGGTTGGAATGCAGTAGGACTGCCAGCCTCCGGGTGGGGGGTCTGTAAATCTCCCGGAATTCCAAGGGGTCACCAGAGTAGAGAGACCACTTCCCCTGGAGAAAATGGCTACTTCAGAGGATTATTATACATGATTAACGTCCCTCCCCCCCACCTTCCCCAGGCTCCATCCCCCAAATCTCCAGGAATTCCCCAACATGCAGTTGGCAACCCTAGTGAACATGTGTACGCGCGCACACGCACGCACACACACAGCTACAGCCTGCCTGGCATGCCGGGGAAGGGTGGCTTTTTTGCTTCACACAGATGGGAAGGGAAGCTGGGGAGGCTCCCCTCTACAGATACAGAGATTGACACACACACCCCGCTGAGCCCACGTAAAAGAAAAGGCAAAATTGTTGGTAGTACCAGTTCATTATCACCATTTTACAGTGATTTTAAAATGCTGTGCTGCTCCAATCTACTGTGGGCTTGTGGTAAAGAACTCATACCCCCACCCCAAGTGTTTTCCAGGGCCAGAACAGCTGCACGGGTACCTGCACACACCGTGAAATGATCACGAGTCCACTTGTGAAAGGCAGAATACAGCGGCTGCCACTGCCACCCACCACCTCTGACCCCCACCACCTTTGAACACTCCTCACTCAGGCAAAAATAGAGCCACCACCACCAGAGCTTCCGCCTTGATGTGCTACCGTGCTGCAGATCAGAGGAGTGGCATGACTGGCAGGAGCTAGCAAGCTGAGGCAGGAAAAGGACCGTGTCACCTGCTTGAGAGCACAGCCGGAGCAACCACTTTGTGCAGGAAGCAAAGGGCAAAGGGAAAGCCTGGGAGGGAGGCAGGAGGAAGGAATAGGGCTGCCAAGTGGGGGCAGGAGGCGGGGAAACCCCTGCTTTGGAGGCCCGATTTCTGCCGCGGTGGAATCGGGCCCTGGGGGGAACTCTGCCCCCCGAAGCTGCGTCACTTCCTGTGACATTCTGGCGGCGCGCGCGCACGTCCCGCAGCAGCTCCCGGACCGAGGCAACGCTCCCTCGCTGGTGAGTCAGAACGACTTGGCAACCCTAGGAAGGGAGGAGAATCTCTCCCTCGGTTCTGTTCAGTTTCATTATTACAATCCAAGCTCAGACAGTACATTAGTATATAATATGCACAATAACTACATAAGCACAACTAAGCAATAAATACAGACAAGATGGATAAAATAGATTAAAACTAAAATATATTTAAAATTTCTTAAAAGAGGCAATAATCTTCTGTCTGATTAAACTGGATGTGGCACAAAACCTTGCTACCTTTGCAGTAGTTTCATTGCAGGAATCAGCTAAAAAGAGAATGGAATAAAATTGGTTCGACCTGGCTGGATAGGCGGCGATAATTGGAGTAATGAATTTTGTCCAAATCTTGTGATAGAACGGACAGAATAAAAGCACGTGCTCAATTGTCTCGACCAGCCCAGATTTACAAGGCAGAGACGGTTTACATATGGGATGGGAGCGTAAATCTCTCCCTCATTGGTGAAGCCTGCAAGGGGGGGGGAGGAAATGCCCCCTCTCATTGGCAGAAGACGTGTGACAGATTTTACAACAACCCCTAGTCCTGATCGGAAGGGCATGACAAATGATGGGTGGGGCCCAGCCACATCGTGCACCACTGTGGCTATGGGCCTGCCCCTAGTTTTATAGTCTCCCTCACATGCCTTAAGGGAGGGTGCTGTTGTCATTGGGGTGTTGCAGCACCCCTCCTTTTATTTTTTTGTGCGTGCTTACATTAATATATTGGTATCAGGCAGCATTTTTTTTAAAGGCACTAAGATCTCTATCTATCTATTGTCATAATGTCGGTTTAAGGAAGTTGTCTGAATTTCCCAGTTTTTTTTTTTTTTTAAGTAAGTCTCTAGCCTTTTCTCTTGCAGAGAACTGATGGGGGAAAACATGCAGAAAAGCCCTTAGATAATGGCCTCTATGATTTTGAATGAGAAGGTCTCAGCCTAACATATAAGGGGAGTGCTACTGAATGAGCCACCACCCGTTGACAGTTTGCTGTTGTCAGGAAAAATGCCCCCCCCCCCAAAAAAAAAAAGTCCAGCACACTTCTGGCTAAAAGAAGCAGCAGAATGTCTGAGAAAAGAAAAAAATGGGGCCTGTCTTTAAAGCTGGGTTGGGAAATGCATCTCTCTATTGGATCACGCTTGCTACTATGGCATTTAGAATTCCTTCCTGCCTTTTGTTTGTAGAGGGCACTTATCAAGTTACATTTTAAAGCGGCTTTCAATTTCCAATGCTTTTCCATTTTGGCTTAAGTACCTGGATCCCATTTCCCACTGTGGAGAGAAGGTGGGGCAAGGGGTGAGCAGTAAGAGTGCAGTTGGAGACTGGGATGAAATGTTGACTCTGGACTGGTTTCCCTACTAAACGTGACCAAGGGCTCCCCTCTTCCTCCCTTCCCTCACCCCCTTGACTTCTGTCCTGGCTGCCACCCACAGCTGTCCTGCCATGTAGTCTCCTTTCCCCCATCAGAGTGTAGAGGACGCGTCCTCCCTAAAGTCTGTCCTCCCGAGAGTGAGGGGGCAGAGGGCCCCTTTTATGTTCTTGTAGCCTCCGCTTAATACCATCATTTAAAGTGATGGTCAGGCTGGAGTCTTGAGACATAACTCAGATTTAAACTTGGATTCACTGTCCATTGAATTATGCACCCCAAAACACTCAAGTATCTGTCAAAGCGTAACTTTAGTTAGCTTCTGGTATTTGCAAAATGGAGCATCTCAACTATTTTATTCTAGAAACAAATAGGACATCACAGCAGTGATCTTGAAACAAATTAAGGTCTGCGCTCCAGTTGGGAGAAAAGCAGGTTTATAAATATTTTAAACGCATACACTTTAGTCAGATGCCCTTGGTCTGCTCTGAGAACAGATTCTGATTTGCCCAGATCCTGCCAAGTCTTTTGTTCAAAAAATTATATGACTGCATCCATCTGTGGGGCTTAAAGGAATAAAATGAAGGGATAAAATTGAGCACGTGGATCCATGTGCCTAGATGTTTCCCCTTTAAAATATTGTAATTCTGTGGTGCTAAAGAAACAAAAGAGATCCAAATGATTTTCTGTGAACAAGAAACCACTCCATATGCTGTGCAAACACATCTGGATCTGTTTTCTTTGGAATCGTAAAACAGCAACATTATTTTTTTTAAAAGCAGTATCAAAGTACCCTGATGCGTTTATTCATTTCCACCCTCTCTCTTATTTTATTTCTGCAAACCCTATGGAACTAGCCATGCAAATTTGTTGGATAAAAGATTATGCAAAATCTGGACAAATTAGAATTTACAGTGTCCTTGGTCTAATATAATTTTTCCGTTGAGTCTTAATAAATTGTATGCTGTGTTGGTGGCTTACTACTTTTCCTTCTCTTTTATTGTGAGAATACTCAAAAAAAAAATTGCAGATCAGAATGGAAATCTAAATTGTGGCTATAAGTCTAAAATCACAATTTTTAAAACTTAGCTATATTGACACCATGAAAGCATTATTTGCTCTATATTGGTTCCTCTGCGTTCATGCAACAGTAGGAATTCAGTTTGCAGGACTAAAAAAAAAAGGTTGGGATTCCCGGGGGGAATATGGTAATGCACATAGTGGATCCACAAACACATTAGAAGCTGCTCGCAGGGAGAGGGATGTAATTCAGGCGAACGTATGTAGAAGTCCTGCTGAGTCGAGGTCAATAATCTGTGCCTTAGTTACATGTAGACTGGACTGTTGCCGTGCACTCTACTTGGGGCTACCCTGGCCTTGACGAGAGTTGGGAGGCTGCAGTTAGTGCAGAATGCTGCAGCTAGACGGCTGGTCGGGGCCAGCTATCAGGAGCACATGACCCGGATATTAACTGCAGTTACACCCAGCTTCCGATCTACAAGGAGAGTCCCTTCCAACTGTCCGATCAGTCACAGAAGCTTGTCTGGTGGGTACACGAGAGAGGGCCCTTTCAGTGTCAGCCCCACAATTATGAAATTACCTCCCCAAGGAAGTGTGCCTGGCCCCCCTCACTTTGATTCGGACAGTTTTATCTAGGGCTGCATTTGGTTAAGTTTACTAGCAGTCCTGAATTGTGATTTAAAATGTGGGTTTTTTTAATGTATTTTGTTTTGTGTATTCCATCTATGTTGTAAGCCACCTTACGCTCCATAAGGCAGAAAGGCAGTTAATCAATGTTCTAAATAATTAAATAAATGATATCCAGAGTGTCAAGCAAGCTAGTTTGCCACGAATGTGCATCATAAGACTGGGCTGGTTTGCTGAAAAGCACATTTAACTCTTCTGCCTGACTTTCATTCTTTAACGTTGGTTTTAGAGGCCTTTCATGTTGAAGAAGAAAAGGGGTCGCAAACGCAGAAGGATTAATAGCAGCGTCACAACAGAGACTATCTCTGAAACCACGGAAGTGCTGAACGAGCCCTTTGATAACTCAGAAGAAGACTGGCCGATGCCGCAGCTGGAACCCACTTGTGAGATGGAGGAGGAGGAGGAGGAGGAGGAGGACGGGGAGGAGGAGGAGGAGGACTTGAAGCCTGGGGCTCACCTGGCCTTCCAGCCTCAGCCTGGTGAGAAGGAGGAGAATGAGCAAGAGGAAGAAGAGGAGCAGGAAGGAGACAATCAGTGCTACCAAAACGATGTGCGTTGCAGAGGTGAGTGGGAACTGGGGTTTGTCTCTCTGCATGTGTATCTTTTTACATTGTTTGTGGTGGCGCAGGTTCTTGCTTGAAAGCTTTTGTGTTTTTACATTCTAGATAACACAGAACTTTTAAACGCTTTTGGCAGTGATCTTCTAGGCTCTGTTTTTGGTTTGGTCTAAATGTTGAGTAATTCATCCTTCGTTCGGTATGTTAACCAGTTGGCACGCGTGGTTCTCCTTAGAATTCTGTAATGGGACTTCCTAATTTTGCTTCAATTGGACACCCATTCAGAATGAAAACTCCGCCCTCGTGGCCGTGAGGTTCCTCTTCCAACAAACCAGATGGCCTTTCCCTTTCTCGTCCTGTCCTCGTTCTCCCACCACCACCACCCCAGCCGGAAAGAATTCTAGTCCCACTTCTTGGTGCCCTTAAGATTACGGAAGAGGGGGAAAGCGCTCCCGACAAAGGACTGCGTGCCTCTCTCCCGGGAAGTAGAGCACCAGAGGAGCCAAGAGCCTTGGCCGGCGCCATCCACCCAAGGCTCTCAGGGAGGGAAGAGCACAGATCCTTCCTGTCCAACTGACCCCCTCCATCAGGCCCATAGCCCGGATTTTGTGGCTTGAGGGGCAAAATCTTCTCTGGTGGGGCTCCCATTATTGGCCATAATGAAGGGAGGGTGGCGTGCCCCCCTCTCCTTCCCCTCCTGCAAGATTTAAAGGCCCCTTCAGCTGACCAGCGGGGAGCACGTGCCCACACCGATCTTAGGTGGAGGGCCCTTTAAATGCTTTTAACGCACGCCAAGGATCCCTTTAAATGCTTTTGAGAAGAAGTGGGGGGGGGGCTTTAAGAAGCAGGGGCCCTTTAGGGAAGGGGCGGAGCCCTCCATTCTCCTTCCTTTGGGTGCCTTGCCTCTTTTGGATGGAGAGCCTGCGAGCAAGGCCTGTGAGCTGCTTTGAGGGACAACGGTGGAAGAGAAAGACAACAAGTCACCCGGTCAGAGGGCCAGTCTGGTCCTGGGGCTGCCACCAGTGTTTGCCTCGAATAAGCTCCAGAATATATAAGCCTGGCCCAGCTTGGGAGTTCTCAGAATATTATGAGAGTTCAGATGCCTCAGCAGCTACTTAAACCGTGGTGGTAAAATGATCGTTCTGTGTGCGTGCGCGCATGTGCAACATGCATGCTCAGCTGGCAGCATTCTTTGAACAAGCCACTGAAAAGGACAACAGTCATCAAATTAGTACCTGCATGTGTCATTCATGTCACTTTGCAATCATACGTTGGATTTGCTGTGCCAGGAAGTCTGTGCATGTCATAGAATGATGGATTTGGAAGGGGCCCCACAGGCCATCTAGTCCAATCCTCTGCCCAATGCAGGACCAGCCCAGAGCATCCCTGACCAGTGTTTGTCCAGCCACTGCTGAAAGACTGCCAGGGAGGGGGAGCTCACCACCTCCCGAGGCAGCCCATTCCACTGCGGCACAACTCTTCCTGTAGAAGTGTGCTTTGCACACAAAAGTTTACACTTTAAATAAAACTTTGTTGGCCCTAAAAGTGCCACCGGACTCAAACTTTGTTCTGCTGCTTCGGACCAACACAGCGACCCACCTGAATTACTCTTACTGTAAAAAGTGTCCTGCTGGGAAATTTTTCTCACATATATGAGAGTTCAGCCACTTTAAAAAAAAACACTTGGTTATCTGAATTTGTAATCTGTGGAGTGATAGTTGTGTATTTGTCTCTTATCTATCCAACAAATTCTTACATTGGATTAGGAATGCAAATATTTTCTTGCATACACCCAAAATTGAGCCATTAGAGTTGTGCCCATTAGAGGAGGAAAAGAACCCCTTTTCTCTTAAAGCAGCCAATCAATTTATTCTTTTGAGCCACCAACCATCTTTCAAAATGTGGATCCGAATGAGGTTTCTTGGAGGGAACCTCTGTGAATTGTGAAACCTTTTTCCACTCGTCTTCTCCCCACCCTGCACCATGATGCACAAAGTGGTTCTTCTGCTGTTGCTGCCAAGTGCTGACGGTGTGGAGTGATCTGCGCGTGCTGGGTGTGGAGCCCCTGGGGGACACCCGGTGCCCGGCAGCCTGGAGCTTGCTGCTCCCTCTCTGCTTTGCGTGACAGTTGCCGGCTCTCTTTATAGGGAGCTCAGTAGTCCTGTTGCTTGCAGCACTTCACTTCTCTGGCCCTGCTGGCTTCACATACGTGTCAGGATACTCTTCACTCTTCACCTTTGCTCAGGTGCATGTTAGGCCAGACACGTCAGGATATTCCTAGCAAACTGCCCAGAGGCCCGTTGGCCAGATTTACATCTCAGAAATGCATCTGATGAATTACACATTGAATGGATCTCCTCCTGGCTTTCCCCCAGAGTGCGTCTTTTTAAAAAGTACATTAGTGCTAAACCCAAGTGAAATGTGTGCCCATTTATTAATCCCATTAATGGAAATTGCTGTCACGCATCTCCCTTTTGTAACTAAAATTGTTTATCTAGAATAGGATTGTGTCTTTTTTTATAAGTACTGCTTCCAACATTTACACTTTTATGTCGTGGCCTGTTTTTGTAACTATTCCCTTTTTATTCCTTCCTATTACATTTTACAGCTTTCTTAAACTGTTGTTAAAAGCCTATGTGGAGGCGGGGGGCACTCAGAAAAGTTCTGCAAGTGGATTCCACGTCCCCTAGCAGGGCAGCGTGAGTTTGCCTGATCAGTCTAGGACAGGAGAAATGCCTGGGTGGTGTGCCAGGGCCAGTGAGAGGAGGAAGCACATGCCGCCATCCTAAAGAATAGGAATGCCTGAAATAGTTGACGTTTTCTTGCATTAAGCTTTTCTGCGCCTTTTAGGGGTGGCTCACTTTGACTGACTTGTTCTTTCCTTGTCCTCTCCTCGTTTTCTCCCGCCTACAGTTAATGCAGAAGAGCGTGCAGTCATTCTGGAAGATGACAGTAAAGACAATCCTGAACCAGTGGTATGTAAACAGGGATGGCCCAAAGGAGTGAAACGATGTCCATCCAAATGGAGGCAAAACAAAGAGCGGAAAACAGGCTTTAAACTTAATTTGTACACTCCCCCCGAGACTCCCATGGAGCCTGACTATCAGGCACTGGGAGAGGAGTCAAAAGAGACGGCCGAAAAGAGCCCATCTCATGTCCCCGCCATCTTGGATGAGATTAAAGACCCTGAAACCATCCTGCCACCTGACAGTGACGCCAGAGAGCCCGCGTCTGAGTGTTTGGAGCAACCTGAGGAGACGTTTGAAAAAACAGAAGACGAGGTCACAAAAGGAGCGGAAGCAGAAGAGAACAGTGTCGTAGGAGAGGTGGAAAATGCACAGAGTCAAGAGAAAGACCAAGAAGAGGAAAGGGAAATGGAGAAAGATGAACCGGAGCAGCTGGAGGACCAGGAGGAGGAAGATGAGGATCATGATGCTGATGATGAAGACGAGAGCCACATGGGTTCAGCCGCGGTGGAGGAGGAGGCAGCGGCAGGAGAGGCTCTCAAGGAAGTAGCCGAGGAGGAGGAGCCTTTTTTAGATTCAAACGAGCAGAGTGGCAGTTCGGACCAGGAGGACCTGATGGGCTGCAGGGCGGGCCCCGCCCCTCCGTGCGAGAGCGGCCGTCAGGAGGCTCCCGCGGTCCCAGAGCCCGTGTCTGAATCGGCTGACGAAAACACCGAGAATCACACCCGAAAGGACAGCGATGAGCCTGATTCCGTGTTCAGAGACGAAAGTGCGGAATCCGTGGAGATAGATTCTGAGACAGCACAGGCAGTAAAATCTCTGACGCAAGAAACCGCCGAGCCAGAAGAGAGGTTCCAGGACTGTGCGGAGACCCAGGAGGCTTGTCAAAGCCTGCAGACTTACAGCAATGCCGACCAAAGCCCCCAGGTGGCCGCCCTGGACGACTGCCAGCAGTCCGACCGCAGCAGCCCCGCCTCCTCTGTCCCCTCGCATCCCAGCCAGTCCGCTCGGTCTGTTAACAGTCCAAATGTGCCTCCCCTGGAAAACAGTTATGCCCAAATAAGCCCGGATCAAAGTGCCATCCCTGTGCCCTCTTTGCAGAACATGGACACCAGTCCCATGATGGACGTTCCCTCTGTTTCTGACCACTCGCAGCAGGTTGTGGACAGTGGGTTCAGCGACCTGGGCAGCATTGAGAGCACGACAGAGAACTACGAGAACCCGAGCAGCTACGACTCCACCATGGGCAACGGCCTCTGTGGAAACGGCTCCTCCCAGAACAGCTGCTCCTACAGCAATCTCACGTCCGGCAACATGACGCAGAGCAGCTGCGCCGTCACCCAGCAGATGTCCAGCGTGAACGGGAGCTGCAGCATGATGCAGACCACCCGCATCAACTCCCCGCCCCCTTGCAATGTGAAATCCCCTCCGGGCTGTGTGACGGAACGGCCCCCCAGCAGCGGCCAGCAGCTCCCCCCCTGCAGCATGGCTGCCAATTTCACCCCGCCTATGCAGCTGAGCGAAATCCCCGAGTCTGGCAACAACAGCAGCAGTGCCGGCTTGTACGAAAGAATGGGCCAGAGTGAGTTTGCGGCGGGGCATTACCCGCAGCCGTCCGCCACCTTCAGCCTCGCCAAACTGCAGCAGTTGACCAACACGCTGATGGACCACTCCTTGCCTTACAGCCATTCAGCCGCGGTCACTTCCTATGCAAACAGTGCCTCTTTGTCTGCCCCGCTCAGCAGCACGGGGCTTGTTCAGCTCTCCCAGTCCCCTCATCCGGTCCCGGGGGGCGCCCAAGTCCAGGCTACGATGACCCCGCCCCCGAACCTCACGCCTCCCCCCATGAACTTGCCGCCGCCTCTTTTGCAGCGTAACATGGCCGCTTCCAATATCAGCCTGTCCCACGCCCAGAGGCTGCAGACTCAGATGCCCGGCAAGGGCCACGCTTCGGTCAGGACTAAGGCGGCGTCTCTGCCACCGGCTGCGGCAGCCCATCAGCCACAGATTTATGGGCGTGCCTCGCAGACTGTGGCCATGCAAGGGCCGGCACGCACCTTAACCATGCAGCGCGGCATGAACATGAGCGTGAACTTAATGCCGGCCCCAGCGTACAATGTCAACTCAGTGAACATGAATATGAACACGCTAAATGCTATGAATGGTTATAGTATGTCCCAGCCCATGATGAACGGTGGCTACCATGCAAACCACGGGTATATGAATCAAACGGCCCAGTACCCTATGCAGATGCAAATGGGGATGATGGGAAGCCAGCCATATGCACAACAGTCCATGCAGACTACCCCCCACAGCAACATGATGTACACCCCTCCGGCACATCATGGCTACATGAACACTGGCATGTCCAAACAGTCCCTGAATGGCTCTTATATGCGTAGGTAGATGGGTGGGGTGGAGGACATACCAAACTGGTGTGCAAGGGTTTGACCTGCACAAAAATGTGGAGAGTGTGATTTCAAAACCAGCAACTGGTGTGAATGCAAATACATTTGTTGGCACCATGAAAAAACTGTATGCAGCAGAAAGCCTTATATAAATGTGTTCTCATTACTTTATTTTTTAATATTGTTTTGTTTGCCATTTTCTTTATATAACGAGTTCTGTGGAGAGGCGGAACTGGTTTGTTATACTGCAAAGACGCAAAACAAGCTGATGGTTCACAGCCATGTTTTATGTGCCTGCTCCCATTCGAAATGTGGATCCTAGTTTTGGGGCATATCTGATGTCGTGCTGGGCCCATGAGCTTCCCACCCCTCCTGCCCTTCCTCCCCCCTCCCCTCCGCCCTGCAAATTCTTTTTGGCATTGCCTTCATGGTCAGTTTTGTTCCTCAAGTGACACTTTTCGCATGCCGCTAATGTCTTTGTTAGTGACAGTGCGTTTCGTAGTACTGTACAAGTGTTGTGCTTAACAGTAAGCCATTTCTTAATTTGTGGGTTTGGGTTTTTTTGTTGCCTTGATTAGGTTACCCCAATTTAGGGGCTTTTAAAAAAATTATATTTTTGTTAATTATATTAAAAATCTTGTAAAAAAAATGGGAGAAAGAGAGAGAGAGAGACGCTGTTAAAGCTATTCAGATCTCAGTTAGTTCAAAGATTGTGGGATCCAGTCCACCAGGGAGTTCTGTGGCTGCAGTGTTCTTGTGCAATTCCCTTCCTTCCCTACAGAGCCCGGCAGGAGAACGTTGGGGGGGGGGGGTGCTCTCCGACTCCTCTTTCTGTTCTGGACACAGGTTTCGTTTTTCCAGAGGAGGGGGGAAGGACGCTTCCTGTTTCGTTTTGATGCTGGCCCTGATTGATGAACTGAAGCATACGTATGTTTACCGAGGTTCTGAAACTTTTTTGTGTATGTCCAAATATTTGGCAGGACTTAAAAAAAAAAAAGATAGTGAGCTTGGTGTAAAGTTGCTATTTTATGGAAATGCCTCTAACTTTACATTTTCATTCCATCTGTAGATTTTTCTATCTTTATAAAATATTGGAGTTATTTTTTAAAAGAAATAAATAGAGCAGTAGGGTGTGAATAGCTCTCAACTGAAGCTTAACAAAGCGCATGTAAAAAAGCAGAAGGTATTTGTGTCTGTTTATATGGCTTCCTTTTTTTGTAGCCTTTGTACCTGTACAGAGTGGCTGTAAGGGCCAAAAAGTGGCTTGATTTCATGTATAAAAATAGACCCAGTGACGCTCTTGTATTTATCTGTTACCTTTTTAGTCAGTCACTTAAAACACACACACACACACACACACACAAGACAAGCTGTACATTTTAACATAAAAATAAATTATGATGAGCCATTTTTAGCCTCTTGTGTCTTGTCATCATCTAATGTACATGGAGATATAGGTGGGACCTGGGGATTTTCTGCAATTACGGCTCATCTCCAGACTGCAGAGATCAGTTCCTTTGGGGGGGGGGGATGGATGGTTTGGAGGGCAGCCTTTGTGGCACTGCACCCCACTGAGCCCCCCCATCCTCCCCAGGCTCCACCCACAAATCTCCAAGAGTTCCCCAGCCTGGATCTGGCAGCCGGTGGTGGTGGGGACCTGGCAAGCCCAGACTGCTTGGAGCAGAGTGACCTGCAGCAGCCCCCCCCGCCCTGCACTCTTGGTTCCAGGCCCCCCCCCGCCCACACTTCCATCCATCCGCCCCCTCCTGGGTCCCCACGGGAAGCCGTGTCGCCTTGGTTCGGAGGCAGCGAGTCCAGCAGCCGTGGAGCAGGTCCAGGAGGGGGTGCTGCTCACCTCGCGTGCCCAAGACCCTGAGCCCTCTCACGCCCAAGCCTCCTCGTGCTGCCCCCTCCCACTCTCACTCCTGCCAGACCACTGGCCTGAGGCAAGGCCTGCAAAGGAGTGGAGTCAAGGAGCACCGTTGCCCACGGAAGCCTCCTGTCCCTTAAGAGTCCTGCCGGGAATGCCCAGTGTGGCAATGCTCTGGGGTAAAGCAGAGTTGTGAAGTGCATACAACTCAGGACATTTGACTGTGGATAGCAACAGGCATCTCCAGGCCGGGGGGGGGGGCGGGGGAGTCTCCGGATGAAGTCTCTTCGGATGAATGGCTGGGAGGGACCCTTGTTTACTGAACTTCTGGGCAGGTCTTTCCATACTCTGGGAAAGGCTTGTGTTGCATTTGTCTTGGTATGTGCATTTCTGCATTCGGTTAGAAACAGGTATCTGTTCTGCATGCTGCTTATTCTAACGGGAGTGGAGAACGTTAATGCCTCGGAGTTCACAGCCATCACGTCTAGGTCCCCAGCCCTACTTCTCAGGATACTGTGGGGCCCGTTGTGACAGGTTAGTGGCTGCTCCAGAGTGCCTGACGGTCTTGGCTGCTGCCTAAGCACGGCGCTTCCTGTCCGAGATCCCCGGCCACCCAGCTGGGAACCACTGGCCGAGCAGGTAAGGTCGTCAGAATCTGGAAAATCTGGCACGGAGTTTGTAGAAATGCTGTGCCCCTGCTGGTTCAAACTCTGACCACTCCTTTCCTCGCTGCATCCTTCCTTAATCCCTTCCCTTCCAGTTTTAATCCTTGGTTGGAGCCTTCTGCTAGGACCAGTGTGAACACCTCCATATCCATGGCGTGGCTGCATGTTGTGGTGCCCCACACATTCCAAAGAGGCTGAATTCCAGTAATGCTTACCCAGAGATCTTAAGAACATGACCTGAAAGTCCCAGCAGGACCAACTACAGATGACACCTTTCTAGTGCTCCTTTCCCCGGGACACAGCAACTTTATACAAACGAAGTGTCCAGGAAGTTTATTTCTTGTGTAGAGTAATTCTATCTATCTGTCTGTCTATCTGCCTATCTATCATATATCTTTCTAATCGTCTGTCTAGTACTGCTCATGCAGCTATTGCCCTAAGCAGAAGTTAAAACCCAAAATTATTCATAGTTAGGTTGATGGTGGGGTGGAAGTTGTTAAAGGCCTGGTGAAATCTTTTGCGGGCTTCTTTGCCATGGGTCCAGACAAAAAATAAATGGACATAAGTCTGACATTAGAAATCACAACATTCAAAAACCGCTGGGGGGACATTTTAACCTTCCAGGACATTCAGTTGCTGACCTAAGAGTGTCAGCTATGCTGCCATGATGGGGGGGGCTCCATTCGCTTGACCTGTGTGCTACCTGCGGCTATTTTACTTTTGCTTCTGTACTGCTTTCTTATCAATGACCTTGCAGGTTGCCAGTGTAGTGTCTGGGATGCATGGAACCGTGGGAGCGCTTTTGGTTCCCAGCTTTGGCCTCTAACGGTCTGGGGCCCCTTCTCCCGCGCACGGGAGTCCGGCTAATTGGCCTAGGGAAGGGGGGGGTGCATACGAATACCCTATATCCCATTATGCTTGTAGGACTGTTGCCATTCTTAACAGTGACTTTGTTACTGCATCTATAGCTCTGCAATAAAGTATAACCTTTCTGATAAGCGTGTACTCAGTTGTTAGCTGTGGAACCTGACAGAGTAGTAGTTCTCTTACAAAGGAATTTCAAAGGGAGATTAGAAAGAGAGACTGCTGAATTGCAACTAATAATGAAGCTCAAGACAATGCATCCTCCTGGACTGAATTGAGACCTAGGTTTCCTGTGTCATTACCAGGACTGATTTCCCCATGCTTACTACCCCTCTGCATATCACACCTAATCCAGTCAAGCCTGCTATTGTCATTCGGCATCTGAAACCACTCCACTCTCCACAATGTAAGGACAGATGGACTCACACTCTAACTGTATCTCAAGAACTGGGCAGCGACTCACAAAAGCTCCTCCCCTGCCGCAAATTTTGTTAGTCTGTAAGGTGCTCCTGGACTCAGGCTGTTTGCTGCTGCTGCAGACAGACTAACACGTCTACCCATCTCGATCTTTAGGCTGGTCCTGCATTGGGCACGGGGTTGGACTAGATGGTCGGTATGGCCCCTTCCAAGTCTATGATCTTCATCGTGGTCCCTATGCAGTCCCACACTTCGGTTTTGGGCACGCCCACAAAGCCAACCTCGGAGTTCTGAAAGAGCTAGCCTCCGACAAATTTTTTGGCGGGCTTTTCTCCTCCGCTCTGGGGAACAGGCTGCCACTGCGCATGCCTGGAACTGAGGAGAAACCCCGCCTCCGTTCAGTTTCTTCTTTTCTGTCGCCACATTCAGACCTCGTTGCGCTTCCCTCCTCTGGTTTACCTCAGCTACCTCAGTTCTCCGTTTTCTTCTACATCCTAACTATTTCGTTGTTCTGTCTTTTCTTTCTTTAAAAAAAAATCTCTTCGTTCGTCTGTGGACTTTCACCTCTCTTCCCACCCGCCACCCCCACACACGCACCTTGGCGGATGCGAAGAAGAAAAGCATCTTTTTAAACTGCTGCGGCTGCAACACCAAGATACCATTGACAGACAGCCACTCCCTCTGCCTTTTTTGCCTGGGAGAAAGTCATCGGGTCGCTTCTTGTGCTCACTGTAGCAACTTCGGCACTCAGGCCTGTAAAAACTGCACAGCCCGCCTCAGGAGTTCTCTCCTCGAAGCCTCCCTTCGACTGCAGGTGTCGCAGGCTTCAGCAGCTCGCACCTCGCCGCCTCCCTCACAATCAAAGGGCGATTTGGCTCAGTCGGCCGCTACCCCTGGGCAGAAGCATAAGTCCGACAAAAAGGGAAAGTTGTCCCTAAAATCGACTGTCTCGGCTGCTTCTGATAAGACCAAATGTAAGTCCAAGAAAAAGCCGAAGAGATGTCCTCTGACCCTCTGAGACTAAAAAAAATCTAAGTCCACATTCGACGTGCCGACATTGATGGCTGCCTTGGTCCTGGCACCGATACCACAAGGACGCTCGGATCTGACCGATCTCCACTCCGAGGACATTTGCCGCCAACCCCTCGACTCTGATTCAGCAAAAGGACATCACACTCAAGTCATCCCGATTTCCTCCCGCTCCCTGTCAGCCTGTAGTCAACCGCCTTCCGAACTCCCTGACTCCGAAGACCCACGGGATCAAGCCTTCCAGGACCGTGGAGATTGGTTCTCGACCGTGGAACTGCCTCCGTTCCCTAGACGCTCCCAAAACGTTCCACAGACGTTTATATGAGGCCGACCATCTTTCTCGCTATCGGTCGGCGATTCCCTGTCACCACCAATATTCATCGGATTCGAGGTCTCCCTCTCCTCGCACTTATGAGAGGCGCTACTACGCTTCCAGGATGCATTGTGAATCAACGGCGCAGTCTCCGTTGTCTTATTACCAGCCAGAGCATCGTGACGTTCACTATGGTCCCGCTGATCCTCCAGCTCCCGTTATGGCACCATCTCAGT